GCCGGCCCCCCCGCCGTCGAACCCGCCCCGGCGGTTGCCGTTGAGAATTCTGATTCCGACGAGTCCACTCTCTTCGTGATCCGTGCCCGCACCCGGATCGGTCTCCTCCAGGTTGTCGCCAGGGTCTTCGGCGTCCTCGGGCTGCGAATCGACAGGGCTAGCGTGGAATTCGAGGGAGACTTCTTCGTCAAGAAGTTCTTCGTCACCGATTCGCGCGGAAAAAAGATCGACGACGCGGAGAGCTTGGAGAGGATCAGGAGTGCTCTGATTGAGGCGATCGACGGCGACGGTGATGTCTCGGTGGGCCCGGCGACGAGAGGCGTGGTGGTGAGGAGGTTAGGGTTGGGAACGGGGTCGGAGGAGCGGAGAGCCAAGGCGGAGAGGATGTTTGAGATGATGGATAGGTTTCTGAAGAATGATCCGATTAGCCTTCAGAAGGATATTCTCAATCACGTCGAATATACCGTCGCGAGATCACGCTTTAATTTCGACGATTTTGAAGCTTATCAGGTGATGCTTCTTCACCTTTTTTTTTAACTTTTTTTTTAATATTGATTCTTTGTGAATTATATGAATTTATTGTAATTCATCTTCTTAATTGACCAGTGAGGAAAACCAGAAAAAATTAAATTAAATTAAGCTTCTCATTTTGGGCGATTCGTTAGCTGTTGATTTTTGGCGGGAAAAACTTCATTGTTTCTTAATGATGATCAAAGTTTGGTTAATTCTTACGTATTTTTACATCTTCGTAGGGTATTGCAGGAATGAACAATATCACATTTTGATTTTTGAATCTGTGGATTTGGGGTAATGAGTTTGGATTTGAATGGATGTATAAATTGCTTAGCAAACTTTTATGCATATCAGGTCTTCATAATGATATTTATGGGAAGATTTTAACCTTGACGCGGTTGAGTTAGTTTGAAGTGCTTGACAAGAATCTCTTCTCGGATCGCAGGGTTTGTCACATTGTGTGAGAGATAGGTTAATTGAACGTTGGCATGATACTCAACTTCACTTCAAGAGGAAAGATCCTAAGCGCATATACTTCCTCTCACTCGAGTATCTTATGGGTATTTTATGTGTTCTTTTCTACGAATTTGTTATTTGTTTCGTGGGATTGACATACCTATTACTTTCTAGTTCCTCATTATGGTGACAATGGTTAGAGAGCTGTTAATGTTCTCAAGGCTGGAATGTATTCACTTTCTTTCAGTTGAGTCATACCTTTTTTCTAAATTGTTTGAAACCTTTCGTTTGTGTGATTGTAGTCCCCCCAACAGAAAACATACATGTGAGGTTCTTTTACCTACTAGAAAATTCAAATCACTTGATTAGGGTACTATCAGCAACTGGGTATGATTTGGTCCTCGTTGTCAGCCTGTCTGTCTTATGCAATCTTCCTTTTTAACAGACGCAATTGCGTTGATTCTAATTATCTAAATGTTAGATGTTTTGTTCTTCTTCTTGTTCGTTAAACTTTTGTTCAAGCTTTTCACCTTAGCTTATAATTGTCTTTCTGCTAAAACACTATGTACTATTTAAAATTTCAGGTCGGTCCTTATCAAATAGTGTCATCAACCTTGGTATCCGGGATGAATGTGCAGAGGCTTTAAGCCAGCTTGGCTTTGAATTTGAAGTTCTGGCAGAGCAGGTTTTTGAAAACAGATTGATGTCTTTGATTCTTTCACTCTTTACTATGAAAAATAAAGGCAATTAAATCTATTGAATACAATCAGGGATGTACTTTAGGTATCTCTGAGTCATCGGTTTTATATAAAAGATATGTTGTTGGACATCAGCATGCCATAACTTCTCTACTAAAAATGGAACCTTAGGGATGTATTTAGGATTCAACATGACCATCATGCTAAGTAATAAAAAATTTATCACACCCACACTGATTTAATGGGAAATTTCATAATAGTGCACTTCGTTTATGAGTAAGAGATACACTTTATTCTCTTCTGTCTGTTCTCGTTTTAAAATTTTATGCTCAATGATGATTTTGTTCTCCAATGAATGGGCTGTTCTTTGCAATGTTACAAGGAAGGAGATGCTGCCCTTGGCAATGGTGGCCTTGCTCGTCTTTCAGCATGCCAAATTGATTCTCTCGCAACTATGGATTATCCTGCGTGGGGGTATGACTATTGTGTAATAAAGTTTTAAGATTTCATATTTCAACTGATTATCATTTTATCGGGGGCTTTTATCTACTAGGGGACAAAATTTATTAGCCTTGTCTCATTATACTCATCCTTTTACCTTGCTCGTGACTTTCTTCTTCCAAGAGGGGGTCTTCTCTGCTTTTGGATTCCAAGCGACAACTTTTTTCTTTTCCTTTTCCTTTATTATTATTATTTTCTTTAAACATGTTCTGAAATATGGATAGACACACTTTCCAGATAATTTAAGGGACCACTTATGTAATAAATATTAACTTTGATGTGTCAAACTTCATTTCTAGTTGCTTGCAAGCCCGATGACTTTGAAAATCTGAATTGATTAATTAAAATAGATTTACTACATTTTTGTTTATTTGTATTCACGAATTGTTTTCACAATGAGGTTCTTTATCGAATCTGGTGAGATTGCATCTTGTCTGTCTACAGTTATGGACTTAGGTACCAGTATGGTTTATTTCGTCAGATAATATTGGACGGGTTCCAACATGAACAACCTGACCACTGGTTAAACTTTGGAAATCCTTGGGAGATAGAGCGAATTCATGTAACTTATCCAGTGAAGGTTTGCAAGTACTATCCTCTATTTAACATTGTTTTACAACTTTGAACTTCTGTTGCTAATTTTTCTTTATCTGCGTGGATAAGTTCTATGGAGCTGTTGAAGAGGAATTTTTGAATGAGGGAACACGTAAAGTTTGGGTTCCTGGAGAGATGGCAAGTTAATAAACTCTCACATATTTAAGCTGCATACTCAAGTGAATCCATGGATATGAGCTCAGTGGTTTGTGTGGTTCTCTTAGGTTGAAGCTGTAGCTTATGACAATCCTATACCTGGTTATGGAACAAGGAATACCATTACTCTACGATTATGGGCTGCTAAACCAAGTGATCATCATGATATGGTAAACGAAGTATAGAGCTTCTTCTCTTGTGTAGGATGATCCAGATAAAGGCCCTATTTTGTTTCCTTCATTGATCTATATTTACTATTCAAGGGAAAATAATAGCTTTTGTTATTACAGAAATCTATATTTAGCACCAAGATTAGAATTGCTGTTAGTATTTTGTCTTTTATTTTTAAGATGATATAAAAGGATCTATATTTGCCTTCAAAAGTTTTTGTGGGATTGATCATTCTATGCTACGATCTCAAATGCAGGAGTCTTTTAATACTGGAGATTACATCAATGCTGTGGTCAATAGGCAGAAAGCAGAAACAATAAGTAGTGTTTTGTATCCCGACGATCGTTCTTATCAGGTTTACTTTTCTATGTTGTTATTTGCTTATTTATTTTTGGGAAGAGATGGTTTCTCATATTATTTGCTTACGCATTGTTTGCCTATTTTGAATTTTGAAAATGTTCCATCTTTGAATTTCTGTTTTGTAGGGGAAAGAACTTCGATTGAAACAACAATATTTCTTTGTCTCGGCGTCCATACAGGACATAATTCGAAGATTCAAAGATTCTCATGATAACTTTGATGTGTTTCCAGAGAAGGTTCTAATTCTGCTAGTATTTATCTTCTTAGATTTATTTTTCTTTTACTTTATCATTTCGTGCCATCATGCTGCAAAGTTGAATATACCAGCCGCAAAAATTTCTTTCCTTGATTGTGGTTGATTGACAAATATTTCTGGCTATTAATATTTGTAATCAGGCAGTCAGGAGGCTACATCATTATAGCAACATTTCTTTTACGTATAATTTTATTCTATTACTTGGGCAATCTGTAACTTACCCTGTTTGTTCTGCTGATTAGCTTATGTTCCTTTATCTTATTCAGGTTGCTTTACAGTTGAATGATACTCATCCATCACTTGCAATAGCTGAAGTCATGAGAGTTCTTGTTGACGAAGAGAACATTGATTGGGACAGAGCATGGGACATTGTATGCAAGATCTTCTCATTTACAACACACACAGTAGTAGCTGAGGGGCTGGAGAAAATCCCTGTCGATTTACTTGGCAGTCTACTACCACGCCATTTACAAGTTCGAACTGGGGCTCTCTTTTCAGATACATATAACTCGACTGCTTTTCTTTCATTTTATGCATTCATTATCTCATAATATAGATTTTGATCCCTTTTCTGGGAAGAATTATTTTTATTCCTTGGGTTTTCAGAAAGTTGAGCGGAGGGGTTGCAAATGTCTAATAATACTTAAAAACGTTTAATAATAGAATTGATTATTTTGTCAAAAATTACTTCTAAATAGACTTCTTAAAACTGATCTGTTTCAGATTATATATGACATTAACTTCAACTTTGTGGACGAATTGAAGAAGAAGATAGGTTTGGATTACGATCGACTGTCCCGGATGTCAATTGTTGAGGAAGGTGCTGTGAAGGTACTCTAGAAACAGTATGATCTTATGAATTGGAATCAACTCATGGTGTAGACGTGTAGTTTATCAAATTATGAACATTTCATAGAGGTGTGATAGTATAATATATTTAAGAATTTCGATTATAGATGTCCATGTGTACGTTAATTAACATTTACAGGGAGATCAATACTTTTTATATTTTAGTAATTTGTTCATTTGTTGCAATCAAGTACCAATAAAAATTATTATTATTATTTCTTTTTTCTGTAGGTCTACCAACTAATCTATTATCAACTTATGAATGATCTATATCTACACAGCCACCCTGATTTGGCAAACATTTTACGCCTTATTTAAGCATTCTTTTTTCTTGTTGTGAAAAGTTAGAAGATGTTATGGATTACATCTGATTTGACAGAGTATTCGGTCGGCAAACCTCTCCATTGTTTGTTCCCATACCATCAATGGTGTTTCAAGTGTACATTTTGAGTTATTAAAGACGAAAGTGTTCAAGGTAACATGTAATGACTCATGATTTTCATTTATTCTCTCCTAAATTATTAAATTTCCTATAGAACCTTCAACAAAGTCATCTGACACCTCTGTATTCTAAAAGGACTTCTATGAGCTGTGGCCTCAGAAATTTCAGTATAAGACGAATGGTGTATCGCAGGTAGAAGAGGTCCTTTATATCTTCCATATGTTCTTTTTTGCATATTGGTACATAACGTTTCCTTGATGGAGCATAATAGAAAATCAAAATATTCCGGTTTCTTATGTATTTTGAGTTTTTAGTATATAAACACGTGCTTGTTATAATCTGCTAAATTGTTGTTTCTCAGCGAAGATGGATTGTGGTAAGCAATCCCAGTCTTTGTGCCCTTATCTCAAAATGGCTTGGAACTGAAGCTTGGATCCGCAATTCTGACCTTCTGACTGGTCTTCGAGAGCATGCAGCAGATACTAATCTACAACAAGAATGGCAGATGGTACTTTCTAGTCAAACTCTCTGCGTATGCTCCAAAAGCAATGCTCTAACATGTTCCGGCTATTTCACATTGTAGGTTAGGAAGGTTAATAAAATGAGGCTTGCAGAATACATTGAAGCAATGAGTGGCTTAAAGGTCTGAAAAATTTCAGCATCTATTTTCTTCAGCTATTGTCAGAAGCTTCTTAAAGATTTTACCATGGCAGCATATCATTTTCATTGCAGGTCAGCCTAGATGCAATGTTTGATGTACAGATAAAGCGAATACACGAGTACAAAAGACAGTTACTTAATATACTCACCATCATCCATCGATATGACTGTATCAAGGTGATGCAATTTATTTTGGTGCAATACTTTGTACAGTTAAAGTTATTAGCTACTGTTGTTGTCTTAAGTTTTCACCGTGAATATTTATTTCCTGCAATTTTCAACTTTCCTTCAGGAAAATATACTTTTTAAGTACATCATGGAACCATTGGTTCTTCTGCGAACCATTATACTTTTTTACTTGCCGCTAGCTGTCAGGAAAAGTTTAGTTTTTAAGTCCATCATGGAACCATTGGCTCATTCCAGCTTTGCATCTTATTTTGCATAGAAGTTGAATTATGATTAATGTAATTGATTCCTTTAGACATGCATTCAACTGGATCCTTATACCATGCGAACTTTTTGTTTTTATTTTTTCAATTTTATAAACTATTTTCACTAATTACCTAATCATTTGTTTGCCTCATTTCAGAATATGAAGGAGAGTGACAGGAGGAAGGTTGTGCCTCGAGTCTGCATACTTGGAGGGAAAGCCGCTCCCGGATATGAGATTGCAAAGAAGATTATTAAACTTTGTCATGCTGTTGCAGAAAAAATTAACGACGACAGTGATATTGGAGATCTTCTAAAGCTGGTATTGAGAAACAAAAGGCCTGTTTGGTTTATAGGTTTAAATAGAAAAGTTTGAATAAAATTTAATTTTTGTGAGAGAAAACATTGTAGTAAAAAGGTTTGAACTCCTGTGCAAACCTATAAAACAAATGCATGGAAATTGTTTAGTCTCTCTTTTTTTTGTTCTCTTTTCTCTTTCTGCTGAGCGTAACTTAACCGAAGAGTCATGCCCCTATACCGTCCTTTCTTGTATTTTATGTTGCTTGGTTATTTTTTTTAATTATTATTTCAGGTGTTTATTCCCGATTACAATGTTTCTGTTGCTGAATTGGTAATACCAGGGGCTGACCTTTCTCAGCACATAAGGTTTGTGGTTTTGCAACCTGTTGACGTTTCCGGAGCTTTTGTTTTCATTTGTACATATCATTTAGAACAATTTTTTTCCCTCTTAGAATCTATGTGAATTGCATAAAATGTGACACTTTCCATGCAGCACTGCAGGGCATGAGGCCTCGGGAACTGGTAGCATGAAATTTGCTATGAATGGATGTCTACTCTTAGCTACAGCTGATGGTTCAACAGTAGAAATCATTGAAGAAATTGGGGCAGAAAATATGGTAAAATACTACATTAGTATTTACAAACCCGGATTTCTGTTGATCATCAAAACTAAGGTGACATAGGCTGAGCAGAATGTAAGCTGAAATATCAAGATAGTTGGATTTAGCTTAACTTATTCAGATGTTGAGCATTTTTTTATGAAATATATTTCATAAACGTTTCTGTGCATGCGTTTGTTAACTCAGTGATGCAACATGAATTCCTTATGAGATTTTCTATTTTTATTTCTTTTTCCTTCTCTCCAGTTTTTGTTTGGCGCAAAGGTGAATGAAGTTCCAGCATTACGTGAGAAATTTTCTGACGTTAAAGTGAATCTGCAATTTGCACGTGTAGTGAGGTAGTAACTGTTCCCTTTTTTTTTTTTTTTTTTTTTTTCACTTCATCAGTTCATTGGCAAGATAAAATCTAATCATAAACATCCGATCAGTTATTTGTAAAAGGCTCGTTTAGTCAAACTAGTCATGCGGAAATCATATCACAGAAGAAAACTAGCCTTCAAAGTTGAAACCTAGTTTGACTTTCTTAAATTTGCATATGCTTATCGAAAAACAATTCTTTTGAAGTTGTAGAAGGTATAAAAGTATAATGGTATCCCAATTTATCTACCAGCATTCCTGTGCTCTATGAAGCATACGAATTACATAAGCTGGCCGTTTCATCAGACGAATTCTTGCATGTTTTGTGTAGAATGGTTCGGGATGGTTACTTTGGCTTTCAAGACTATTTCAAGTCACTATGTGATTCTGTGGAGGGTGGTAATGACTTCTATCTCCTCGGATCCGATTTTGAAAGCTATCTAAAGGCGCAGGTAACTCATGTTTCTTTGGGTCGTTCCCATTGGAATCTCAAGAAAATAGTATTAACAATAATAATGTTAGGACTACTAACTTTTTGATACTAAATGATGAGACATGTGAGCGGTCATTTTTTATTAGTAGGTGTTTAAAATTTTTTATGTCAACCAATATTAAAAGAATGTATCTATTAGTGAAAGATAACAATTCAACATAACCTGAGTTTGTATCAAAAAGTCGGTGGGATCCCTAGCACTACTTAATTATGGTGTCCAGACTTTGACATTTGACTATGACCACAGGCTGCTGCGGATAAAGCCTTTGTTGATAAAGAGAAATGGACTCGGATGAGCATTCTTAGCACTGCTGGTTCTGGGAGATTTAGCAGTGACAGAACAATCGAAGAGTATGCAGAGAAGAGTTGGGGAATTGAGCCGTGCCGGTGCCCTTTCTGAAAACAAGCTTACCCCTTAGATGGAACAATCAATAAGTTTAAACCATCCTTTCCTAATTAAACATAACTAGTGAACAATCAATAAGTTTAAACCATCCTTTCCTAATTAACATAACTAGTTCGGATGTATCAGTACTTCTGGCAAAGAGAAAATTCACAGGGCCTTTTATCATAGTTATGTAGTGTTAATGGTGGAACTATCATCAGGCTGCCCTAGTTTAGGACCTGTACACGACTGTCCTTGTAATTTCAGATGTACTGCTGAAATCTTGAAATGATAGATAATTCTCCTTTTTTTTTTTTGTTGTATATATAGATGTTTATGTCCATATATATACGTTATTAGTTTTTATTTTTAAATACGTATAAACCTAATATGCGCATGGTGGATACTAAAAATGCCAAAATTTTGGTGATATAAAAGGATATTTATACAAAGATGGGACACGCGTGCAGATTAATGTGACTGACGAACCAAAGTATTTGTCCTTTTATATATATTGGTCTCGTTCATTTTTCAATTCGAGCTGAGATATGACATTTTCAGAGAACTTTTTACTGTAACAGAAAAAGTTAGATGTGACATTTTCTGAGAGTTTTTTACTGTAGAAACTTAAAATTGAAAACTTGAATCGGTACAATAAACAAGACCATATATTTTCAAGAGGATTATTAAACTTATTTTTAATAGTGCATGGTTTTGATTTTTATCTCTCGATTAATACTATTTTTTTATATACATATATAAAACCGCAAATGGGATGAACTAGCCAAATCGGTTAAAACGGAGACGGTTACAAATAACAGGACAGTTTCAATACTCCGTACTAAAAAGAACTTTTAAAAACAGAGTTTGCCAACAGGTGGGCCACCATGTTACTTGAAAGAGGAACATGATGGCATAGACCACCATTAGCAGACAAGGATATCTGTATATCCTTAATAACAAAACAATCATCAGCATAAGAATTGGAGTCTTTGCTATTGACAGAGTGGATCCAAAGCATCCGACTCAGCACAAGAAATATTTAGGGTCTGTTTAGTTCGTTGATTCGAGTTTTTAATTTGAGTTGAGATGTGACTTTATGTGAAAATTTTTTACTGTAGTAAAAAAGTTAGATGTGACTGTTTCTGAGAGCTTTTTACTGTAACAAAACTCGAATTCTAAATTCGAATTAGTGAAATAAACGGGACCTTAAACCAACTAGACGATCAAGATCTAATCCCTCGTGCAACGCTAAGCCTTCATCAACAAGTGAGGAAAAGCGGCCACTAATTTTCTTGGCTAAACAAGCATACACCGTATCCTGAACGTCCCTAATTACACTACCATTTTAACTAATATAATTATCTAATTAAAAAAATTTAAATCAAGAGAAATGATAGAAATCTAGATTCTAAGTCTAAGGGTACTTTTCTCTTTTCCTTAATATTTCGTTGAGAACGAAATTATAGAAATACAATTTATATAAACGATGATAAATTAGGTTGTTTATTGTGAATATCCTTCCTTAAACGACATGCCCTTTTCCACCTGAAAAGAAAAAGCTTTTTTTTTTTTTGAAAAAATAAACATGCCTAAGGTCAGTAGACGAAGATATCACGATTGGAAGTTTTGAGTATTTCAAAACTTCAACTGGTAAGTGCAACATCCTACGTCAAAAAACCTAGCTTTAAGGCACGTTTCCAAACTTAGCTTATTAAGAGCTTTTTGATGAGCTGGGAACGGACGTTGAAAGAAAGTTGTTTGGTGTGCACATAGAAAAGGAGAGAATTTATATAAAAAAAAAAGAAAAGAAAAAAATTGTTGAGAGTAAATATTTTACAAACTATAAAAAATAACTTGCAAGATACAAAATATAATCTATAAGGTATGAAAAAATAATTTTTAAGTTATTAGTGAATAAATTTAAAAACAATCAAAAAATAAAATAATGTTAGCTTTTTTATGGTTTTTATTTTATTGAAATAAAGATTATGCTAAATGGGTGAGTGGGAGGTTGTTCTCAATAACTTAACGAATCAAACGACATATATTTTTCTGTCGTTTCATTTCGCTTATGGAGTTCCGGCTCTTGAGAAGTGGAAGAGAGTCAACACTAGCTGAATAGCCGGAGAAAAACGTCGTCGTTTAATCTGAAGAAATCACCGGAGAGAAAACCAATCTCCGTCGGTGCAGAATCAGAGATTGGCAAGAGCCGAGAAGCACTCGCAGACTTACTTTCTGGAAACAGCTCTCAGCAAAAAAAAATGGCGATTTCTCAATTTCTCCTATTCTTTCTGTTTCCCGCCTTTTCTTCGTCTCTCCTCTTCTCTCTCTCCCAAGCTTCCGTAACTTCTGAGAACGATTGCTTCCGAAAATTACAGGAACTCAAGCTCAAGATCGCTCATTTAGGTGTTGCTTCCATAACCTAGCTCTGAAATTGATTTCCTTTCTTTTTTCTTCAGCTGATATTATACTATTGTAAGAATTATTTTCATTTTCTGCGACTTTAATTCTTGTTCTATTACATAAAAAAGAGAAACTTTGCTTGTATTGTAATCTTATTAGAAATTAATTGGAAGAAAAATTTTGCAGAGTTGAAATTTGATGAAACAATCCGAAATCTGAATGAGAAAGAGCTTCAGATCGAAGAGCAAGAGAAGCTGATTCAGCAGATGTCGAATGAGATCCATCTTTTGCAATCTTCTGTTTTGAGTCTAAAGGTTTGCTCTCCATTATATACATACATACATATATATATATATAATATTGTATTTGTGTATATATACACACACGTATACATACTTACTCAAAAGTGAACCGTGATTGAAGTCTGAATTGCAGAGAGATTCATCTGGTGCTAATGAAAGGCTTAATGCATTGGAAGAAGAGGTTTGTTTCATTTCAGTTTTGTTGTTTTGTTGCATTTTGGCTTCCATTTTGGGTTTGGTTTTTCAATTCAAATGAACTTGGATTCATTTGAGAAGTAGACTCTCAGGTACGACTCCTCTGGGCTGCTGCAAGGAAGAACAACTTTGATATTCATGTTCTAAAGTCTAAAGCACAGGATGCTGAGGACAAATTGGAAACGGTTGCCTCTCAAGCTGAGAAGGTGTTTGGTTAATTTTAATATTTTATATTATTTTGCCCAATTTCTGTATAAGCATGTATATGGGTTCGTTTGGCATTCTTTTTTCCTTACATTTCACTCGGTAAAAAAGAAGAAGCAAAAACTGTTTTTTCTGTAAGTGTTTGGAACCAGAGTCTTAAATGATCTTAATGGGATAAATATGATATGTAAATTTTTTTTAATGAGCAATGAAAATATTAAAAGGAAGTTTAAAGATCTGGTATAAGTTCAACGTCTTTTTGGATCGAACTTTCTTGAAAAGTCATATTTTGTGGCTTTGACTTGAAATGCTTCTAAAAGGTTGCCAAGCACTCCCAAAAGCAGTTTTTGGATCCAACAAGCCAAAGGCCGCTTTCAGGAAGCAATGCCAAACAGGATTTTTCTAGGACAAGTTCACATCTTGTTCACTTGTTGTAGTTTAGAGCTGGCCATTTGTTCAACATGTTGAATTGTTAGTTTTGATTTCAGATGGCTGACATTGTCACCGAACATTGGATTCAAATTCAACGGCTTGAGCAGGCTCTTCATATTACACAAGTATCGATACATCTCACTAAAATTGCTTTACTATATGATATGATAAGTTTTCCAGAAATGCCAAAACTTGATTTTTTGTAATCTGATATCTCACTAACATTTGTGCATGTTGGAATTAAAAGATGAGGGCTTTTAGAGCACGAAGGAAAATAATGTATTCGAGATGCTCGTTTTTGAAGGTAAAAGTGAAATTTCAAAGCTATTGTTTTGTCAATGTTTTAGTAAGTAACTGCGGAAATTTGTGAAAAGCTCACATCAAGCATTCTTAGCAGCTGTGACTTGTATTATCCTCATTGTGTCAATTTCCCTTAGGTTTTAATCTCATTATTGTATCTGGTTTGTAGCTCATCGACAGACTATTTGGTGATCATCCTCAAAAGGTGCTTGGCGTACTGGACTCCTTTACACTTCAGCTTAAAAGAGTCTTTGCAGTGGCTACAGAATATCATCATGAGGTCAGTATTAAAATCAAAATCTCCGGTTCTTTAATATGCCATGGCTGTCCTTGAAAGGAAAATGTTCCTCCAATGATGTTGCGAGGATTCTGAAGCCATTCCTCGAGTTGACTTTGTAACCTTTTCACCATGAATATTGTTGTCATTGTCCTCCTCATTGTTTTTTCCTTTTTTTTTTTTTTTAATTTTCTTTCCGTGCTTGAAAAGCGAGCAACTTCTTTTATCATAGTGTTTCAAGATTTTCTGACGGTTGATGTTTCTGTCATAATATTTTCAATTGGCTTATACTAGACCTCGAATTTTCACTGCAGTTACAACGTTTCATCAAACGAGAAATGGAGAAAAACGAATTTACTGCACCTTTTGCCCACTGGGAATTGGTATTTTTCATGGTATGTATTGTTATTTTGCTGCCCGAGGCCGGAGCCTCTTTCATTTCGAATTTTTCGTTTTGCTATACAACCACTTTTTTCGTTCACACCAGTCTCACATATGTGAAAATTTCCAGGCTTCTGCTTTAATTACTTTCCCAGTAATCAGTGCTTGGATATTGCTCTCGTCACAATTACGCTAGTTTGGATTGTTTAAGTATGAAAAGAGAGATTCTTCTGCGGTTGATGATAGTTATACTGGCTGAGAATGACCTTGACCACTATGATAGTAATTATACTCGGACTTTGACATTGTATATTTCTGCTGCAAATGCGCAACATGCGATCCTAGAAGCTTTACTACTCTGAGTCAAATATCAAATTTTCATGTGTAACAGATTAAAAAATTGTAGCATTCATGAATATCACTAATTTTTTCCCTGATGTTTTGACTTTTGAGCTTGAAACAATTGTGGCAGTTAACCCACTTTCCGAATTTGTGCAGCTGTTGTTGGACGCCAAATAATAATAACAATAATAATAATAGTAATAATGATAATATGTTTAAGGTCATAAAAGTTATAGTAGACATTTTACCTAATTGGCATCGGCTTCTGCCTTTGATGGTCTTTATTCTGATTTGGAGTGGGTTCAAATGATCCTAACTAAACAAAACCAATCACTTGCTGGATTTTCAATGTTTCGGTTAATGCCAATGGCAACAGCAATAATTTGTGAGCTTATTTATTAGGGTTGGTGAAACATAAAAGGGTGATGGTCCATACCTAAAGCTTCCAGCTATTAGTAATACTTTGGCGGGAGGGAAAATCACAGTTAGCCTGGTATGACTCAAGAGCCAACGCCTAAGTGTAGGGAATAAAACAAAAGAGTAGAAGATTTTTCATTACATTATTATATTTTATTTTTGAATGTCATTTTTCGTGGACTTATTAATTTAATATTTCTCACCGAAAATTTGGAAGAGGCGGACAGAAAATGGGAGGAAGAGGCAACTGGCAGTAGTTACCATAGATACCTCCTTGCTTGACCAAATGTGCCCGCACATGTTGAGAAATGTTCGAATATTGAGCAGGTAATACGTTTGGTTTATAGATTTAAAATCACGATTTATGATTTTAATTTTTAAAATTTAAATTTTTTGTGAGAGAAAAACACTGTAGATAATCATGAATTATGATTCAGAATTAGAGACGGATACATAAAACAAACATCGTTTAAATCTAAAATAGTCGCAAGAAAATCTTGTAGGACTACCTTCTAAGTTCTATCATCTACCAAACTACTTAGACGTAAACTCTGATCTAAGTTCAACCACCTCACTCTGATCCCATCCCAGGCAATAACAAATATAATTACAAAATCAAACTATATTTCTCAAAAATAGCTTCTAGTAATTTTATTATTTATTTTGTCCGGGTTCCCTGGGCGACCGTTTTACATTATAATATTTAAAAGTAAAAAGCGTAACATCAACAATAAATTAAAAAGATGATCTAAAATAATTTCTTTATTACTGTATCTTTTTAAGTCCTTATATTATTATTACATTTTGTGCACACAGTCATTGGGTTATTTCTGACTTTTCTCAACCTCAACTTTTCCCTTTCTGACCAAGGAACTTCCACATCTTCATCCTCTCCTTGATGAGAGAGAGAGAGAGTGAACAGAAATAGTATGGAAGAAGAAGAAGAGATAACATGGGAACAGAGACATCAAGCCCTAACCCACATCCTAACCAGTCCCACGAGAAGACCTCCTCTCTATTCTCAATTCTTCATCTCCACCCAAATCCCATGCTACCTTAACTGGGACTACCCTCCCGTCCTCTGCACCAAATCCTCAAAAACTTTCCCTTCTCTTCACTTGAGATGGGGAATCTCTCTTTTCCTTAAAAGGGTCTCGAATTCTGGTCCTCCCGAGACCTCTTGGAGGTCCAAATGCCCTTATCTTCAGCCCCCGCCGTTGGTTCTCGCAAAAGGATTGGAGGAAGCTCAGTGGGGTGATGAACAGAGGAGACTGTATTTCAGGAAGAGGCTCAGAAGGAAACGCCTTAAGAGCGATGTTAATCCTTTGATTCCTTTTTTGGTTCCTAATCTCTTGTTGTTTTCTCTTCTGCTTTGGGACCCTTTTCCTTCAGATGGCTTCTGAGAGAGTTTAGTCCTTCTTGACATCTTAAACTTTGTTCCGATTAATTTCTCTCTGCTGAAATATAATTTTGAAGCTGTATTTTACGGTTTTATAGACATTTGCCCAGATGGGGTCTGAATAAAAATACTTGCTCGATCTAGAAAGAAGCGTTAATGCATTTCTCTTGGGATGAAATTGGGATCGGTTATCCATTAAGCATGTGTATATTACTAATAAACCCAACTTTTAATGCACAAGTGAAAATACTCGAACTTACACTTTTGGGCAAAAGAGATTCGATATATAATTCAATCAAGGAGGAGAATGTTGTGGATTAGATAGAGACTTATATGTAATCCACTTGGAATGGCGCCATTCTTTTTTACTAAATAGTCGTTACTTATGTTGTCTGTTTTTGTGTTCTGTTTCGTTAATGAAGTTCTACGTACCAAAGAAAAAGAGTTATTTGGGGGTAAATTCGAGTTTTTAATTTAAATTTTTTATAAATAAAGAGTTTTTTATTATAATAAAATTAAAATTATTTAATTTTTTTATAAATAAAAAGTTTTTTATTATAATAAAATTAAAATTATAAATTAAAGTGAAAACAACCTTAATTTTTTTTTTTTTTCATGCAACGCATTTGGTACACGCGTGCGTGTGCATTCATTAGCAAGAAGATAAATTCAGAAAAAAATTTGAAAAAAAAAAAAAGAGTATATAAAACACCGGTGACAATAATATGTTTTTCTTTAGTACATAAGAGATGAACATTTTAGGGTTATGAAGAGAATTACGTGGGTACTGGGTAGTGGCTCTAACCTCCAAGCAGAACTGATGCGATTCCCCTCTGTACACATAGAAAGGCAGTCAACCACCTACGTTCCTCAATTTGCTGACCCAAACATGTATGGAATTATAAACAAATTAAAAATAGAAAAAGAAAAATCAGTTCTCAAATATCTCCTCCAAATTGTCAAAAAACAGACTTTGGATACCCCGTTTTTTAATGCGTCTTTTTTTTTTTTTTTTTGCCTGAGAAAAAACTAGCTGCCCCCAAGAGAAAAACACAGAATAGGAAGTGGCAGGAACTTAGCCGGTAGCCAAATACACACTTTGCAAAGAACAATTCCTCCGCTAATCACGCAATATATCCACTTATTTCAAGGAAAAAGAAAAGCAAAAGTGAGAATAATAACGAAAAGTTAAAAAAGGTAAAGTTCTAGATGTTTGTTGGTCAAACAGAAAAAAATTGTATTACCTCTTTTGTATGAACATATATCAATTCCTTAAAGAATCGCGCCCCCACCACTTTTCAATCAATCCTCCTAACAAAACCCAACTCTTTGAATTTTGATGGAGACTTCAATGCCAATGATGCAGCTTGATCCCCAGCCTTAATTTAATGCCTAACTAACACTAAATAAAATTGATGTATATTCAAAACTTCCGTAAAAAAAAAAAAAAGAAGAAAAGATAAAAAAAACTTGGTTATTGTATGTGGATGACTTTTGTAATGAATAAGGAGGAACTGATAAATCGATAGTGTTAAGCACCGTACATAATTAGAAGGCGGGTCTCAAAATATAATCTCTATAAATTAATGTGTCATGACTAAACTTTAGTGTTTTAGTGCAATACTATTATTCGTGTCAAATTTATCATATGTTATACTTATTTGTCATCAAGTATAGCATATAATAAATTTAACATTTGATTATTATAGGTTCATTTGCTTACTTTTTCAACATTAACATTTTCAAATTACTTTAATTTACTTTTATAATTTTCAAACTTAATGATCATCGCAAAAATAGATGTAGCATTTGAAATAACATTATATATAAGAACACAAATGAAAATAACAAATCAAATATATTATTATCACGTCTTTTAGTGTTAAATACGCAATTAGTATTTTGATTTGATTATAGATAATCTTAATAGTGATGTTCTCACGATTCCAAAACATTTTTTCTTTGTATTTAGATAAAAATTATCTCTCTTTATTCTTGTTAGGGGTGTGGCTATCTTTGTTGTTTCTAAGTTCAAAGTCACCCCCACAATATCTTTCAGCAACAAAATAGTCAATTTATTTCCTTATTTATTTATTTATTTATAATTACCACTACTATCCTATGGGGAGGTGGAAGTTAAATGAAAAATAACCACTAGAATTGAAACTTAAAAAAAAAAAAAAAAAAAAAAAAAAAAAAAAAAAAAAACTTTTTTTCTTAGCAACCTTTTTTCTTTATTGCAGAAAATTGAAGCAAAAACAAAACCAAAAACATGCAAACAAAAGAGAAAAGGTTTGCCAAATAAAAGTTTAGTGTACTGCTTTAGAGTTTATACCATTTCTTTTCTTTTTTTTTCTTTTTTTTTCTTTTTTTTTTCTTTTTTCGTTTTTCTTTTTTCTTTCTCCTTAGAGCTTTGTTAGAGTTCAGACAGCTCCAGCAGTAGGCTTTCGCTTTAGAAAAATCACCCTTCATAAAAATGGGCAACATAAAAAAGAAAAAGGAAAAAGAAAAAGAAAGTTTTCATTATTCACTACAATCTTCACAAGTAGGCCCCCGGGACACAGGACAGGGAAGCTTCTTCTTTAACATCTCACGCTTTTCCCTTTAAACAGTTGCCCAATTTTGGAGAAAAACATTAAAGAAGCTCATTTTTCTCTTGTTTAACCATTCGTAAATTATGAACTTAGATTAATCACGATTACCAATAAGCTGCATTATTATAGCTAGCAACAAACACAATCTTCACAAAATTTCTTCTGTTCCCATGTCCAAACAGCTGGATTAAATTTTACACACACATATATATACTTCTTTTTTAAAATAATTTTGCTCTAAACACACATTTATACGTATCTCCGCATCCAAATCTGTCTAATGACATGACTGTTCATACAAAGATTTATCTTTAATCATTCATAAAAGAAGTATAAATATAAAAGTAAAAAAGGTAACATGTTTTTTATTTTATGTAACAATAATTTGAAATATGTAACGCTAATAAGTGGTAGATAAATTTCTTGTTGTTGAAGTAGAGATTATGTTACACCTTCTATTTCTACATTACGGACATGGTACTATTATTAGTGAAGGATTTAAGTGTTTATATAATATATGAAGACACGCTATACATAGACGACAAAAAAAAATGTGAAATTTACCAAATCTTTTGTACTCATCTCCATATCTCGACATTGAATTCCTTCTAATGACCTTATTACCTATGTACATAGATTGCTAGTCACTCCAAAAGCTCGTGAGAGGACAAACATTTTGTTAGAGAGTAACAATAGTTAAAAGACAAAACAGAGACAGTAATTATGTTACCAGTCCGAACTAAATTAATGGCGGGGAGGTAATCAATGCGGAATCTTCTACCTGCCTATGCCAATCTGACGTTAATGGTAATTGGAATAACATAAACCTGTATACTAATTAAAATTATAATATTAGCATTGTTAATAATCAATTGAAGATTTATTTGAAAAGTTTAAATATATATTGACTGCATTATTGCAAAGGACGTCACATGGGATATTATTTCACCTTCCTTATAAATGTAGTAAAAAAAAGGTTGTTCAAAGTATTTATTTGTTATAATATATTAAGTAATTGTACTCTTCAATGACTTTAACAAAATACTTTAATTGAGAATTATGGATTACCTATCTAGTAGTCCCTTGCAATTACTTGCCCTTGCGCCTGCTATTTATAGTTCATTATAATGTGCACTTATGACTCTAGCTAGACATGTGGCTGATGATCTTCAAGATAGGTACTCAAAAACTACGGACACGTTCATTAATATTCCTCTCGATCTCTTTAGGTTTTTTTTTTTTTTCATTAGGATTTTGGTCATTGCACAACATAAATATTCCTGCCAAAGGCTTAATGAAAAACTAATTATAGAAAGCAGTAGATGAGCTAACATCAAATAAATGGTTGAAGCATTATGTAGGCTATTAATAATCGGTTTGGAATTTCTATCTAATTTTCTATACATATTCAATTTTATACATAAATGAGAATACGACTAATTATCAGACTCATGAGGCTGTAAAATCTGGAACACATAAAATAATAGAGTAAGATCGTAGTAATTATATGATATATGAATGTTAAGTTGGTAAGAAATACAATATAATTACCGCTCACTTGTGATCGCTAATTATTAATTTTCAAGAAATATGAAACACCTTAATTTTCCTCTTTCTTCAAGTGGAAACTAATTAAACTCAATAATGTCCATGTTACTTCTAACAAATACAAATTAAGTGTACTAGGACACAAATTGTCGTATAATAATTGTTCATTAGGTTTAGATCTATATATGCTGATATGATTAACTCGATCTCGACTATCATTAGCAAAACTCTTACGTACTTAATTAACGTGATATTTGTAGGCTCCCAACGCGTTTAGGGAGCTAATTAGTAATTCCCTACATATGTTGGTCCTACTTTAGTTATGTTTTATGGTAAAAGTTTCGGTGCATCCCTTCCGTTATAGACAAAGCGTAGAGGGCACATGGGTGTATGCACTACATGCCATAATTTGGGTGTCCCACACCCACTCCACAATCCACGCATAATTGCTCGGCCATGCCCATATGCTTATCTTTTTCCTCCAAAATTTCCCAAATCACCCTTTTGTTATTATTAGCATTTATATTTCCCCCTCTACTTTATGGAAAGTAAAATCATCTCAACTCAACTAATCTATTCATTAAATTCCATATTGGTACTTGGTTCTCCAATGACCCCTCATCATTCACGGCTAATATTTTGACTCTTGTAAGGGGCAAACTCATGTGTTAAATCTCTGCACAATATTTTCTCTCTGACTAAATCATGACTTTGGTCTATATTATTAATTAGTTTTTTGCTTGGAAGCAACGAAAAGACAAGGTTTATTATCTGAATTATAGTATATAAAGAATGCATATAACAATAGCTTCATCCGATATAACTTAATCAAAATCAAAGCTTAAGTCATATACAACAGGCTTTTGATTAGAAATATTAGCAGACAATTATGTTGTTTTCCACAAGTTGACAATCATCCCCCATCTTCCCCGCACAAAAAAAAAAAAAAAAAAAAAAAAAAAAAAAAAAAAAAAAAAAAAAAAAAAAGTGAACAGAAAGAAAAGTGCTCTGTGTTGAAGTTTCCTCCTACTAGGACTAGGGACCACAATCTCCCCGTCCTATTCGCACCTAATGAGTGGAAAAAATGGGTATTGGAGAGAGAAAAAGTTGCTCTATATAAACATATATCAAAACCCATCCATCACTAAACCCAACACTAGCTAGCTCACTACACTTTCTTCTCTCTCTCTCTCTCTCTCTCTCTCTCTCTCTCTCCACACACAATATTATCATTTCAATTCATTTCCCACTAATATGGCTCTCGCAACAAAAACTCTCTCTCTCCTCTTCCTAGCACTATTCCTCCTATCTCACAACTCTCAAGCCCGAGTCAATCAGGCGTTCAACAAGGTCCCTGCCCTCAACAACAACGAGAAAGAGACCCCCACGACCACTACCACCGTCGTTGATCCCAAGAACAACAACAAGAAGGAAGAACAAGAGCCGGGTTTCATCCCGGACACCCAAAACAACGGGTACGGGCTGTACGGGCACGAGTACGGGCAGTTGCCTCCGTCGGAGACCAACACCAACGGAGCGCAACACTACACAACCACCACCACCACCAACACCAACACCAAAACATACGAGCCGTACACCACCCCAACGAGCACGTACGAAGAGGAATCCTACCGCGGCACCACCCCGACAACCTACGAGCCCTACACCACCCCGGTCGGGCCTCACTACGGGGAGGAGCCAGAGCAAGAGCCCGCCAACAATAAGTTCAACAACGCTCAGCTCTACAACAACCACAACAACAATGAGAACTACTACAAGCAGAATAATGCCGTGAGAGAGAACCACAACAACAACAACAACAACAACAACAACAACAACAACAACAACAACAACGTTGAGAGGCAGGGCATGAGCGACACTCGGTACATGGCCGGTGGGAAGTACCACTACGACATCAACAGCGAGAGGAATAACTACAACGCAAACTCGTACGACGAGAAGAACTACGATCCCAACTCCTACAGGAACGACGACAACAACAACAACAACTACAAATTCTATGGAAGCAAGAATGAGAACGCATACGAGACTAATCACTACTACAACAACAACAACTACGACAACAACAACAACAATAACAACAACAACAACAACAACAACTACAACACGAACTCCTTTGAAGGGTACCAGAACGAGGAGTTCCACGAGGACGACGGCGAGTTTGTGCCCTGATCAGCGGCTATAGGCCCAGTCGTGGTTTATGTTTATCCAACTTATAAAGTGAACAGATCATGATATGTCGTTTTTCTTAATTATCGGTTTATGATCATTACCTTCGCGTGTTTGATATTTATGTTAATTATATTGTGGTTCAAGTTGGAAAAAGGAAATTTTAAGAATATATAGACATCAAATTAAGGAGTTGGGTTCTTGTTTGTATGCTAGTAAATTTTGTGTTTTCCTTTTGTTTAATTTTCGAAGACTGTTCAATAAAGTAGTCTTGATCCTACTTTCACAAAAAGAAAAGGTCTCCAAATAAATCCCATAATAGCATTTGACTGTTTTTTTTTTTTTTTTTTTTTTTTTTTTTTTTTTTTTTTTTTTTTGTTGCTTGAATTTTACTTTAATTTATAATGTTTTTGATGATCTGTATTAGTACGAACCATTTGGCAAATTAATTGCTTTTACTTTTTCACGTTCTGCGAATAGATTAACGAGACAGAAACAATTTTTGTGAAACATATAGATCAGTTCGTAACTTTTAAATCATTTTTGGCACAGTCCTCATCTTACATGTTATCGATACTTTAGAATCTCTAAAATGGATGGTGTAATGTAGTTAATTATCAATTAAGATCCATTATGATCACTTGGCCAGAAAGCATGAAAATTAGACAGAAGAATGGGAATTATTTATGGCCAATAACAAAGGATGAATGAATTCAAAGTCTAATGAAATCTCCTTGTCAAAAAAACTAGTGCCGCACCATATATAGTGTTTTTTCTTCTTTTTTTTTTTAAGAGAATGAAATTAACAAGTGATAATTCCAATTTAAATTGTTGATATTTTTGTTCAAAAATATAGGAAAGAAAGAAAAGAGTGAGGCTTCAAAATAATGATAAAATAACTAATAAGCAACAATTTATGAGGGAAAGGAAGATCTCCCTCCAAAATGGAGAAATAGTGTGCAATTTCAAAAAGTGATTGATCCACCAAACAAGAGCTACTAGTTGGTGAGCCACAATTGGCGCCACAAAGAAGACGTGTGGGAGCAATTCTTTTCTAGACTTCTACAACTTTTCTTTTCTTTTCTTTTTTTTGAATGGGACTTCTACAACTGTGACATCCAAAGGAAACCAGCAATAGGATCAACCATGCATTATACCCCGTGAATGACGGATAGACGTGGTTTTTTCAGCTTCAATTGCGCTCAAGCTGGGTCTCAATCCTCTTTGACTATGCACATTATACATTGATAGCATATGCAACTTGCGGTCCAAAAAAAAATACTATTTTTTGAAGGGGGGAAAAATGCTATTGGTTCTGATTTTTTTTTTTCCTTCTGTTTGGAACATGGAAAATTCCCATTTTGTTTGGAGAAAACATTATATAAATAAGATTATTCCGTTCATGGCCTGTAATTTTGGTAGGCTGATAGAAAAAAATTATAAAAATTCCTAATATAGGTCACCTAACCATATGCTGTAACCACATAAAAAGTTATGCATGAACTAGCTTTTCTAGGTACTTCTGTCGATTACATCAAAGAAAATCAAGAGATCAGTTAGCTATAACTACTGTGTGAGAACTTTCAAGAGCTACCTATTTAACTTCGTCAAAATTTCTAACCACCACAGAGTAACTGAAAGTATAGACCAAGTCTGCTTCATAACAATAACCAAACTCCATCTATATCCAATTATCCATCCACGTACAAAAAGCTCGCATATTAAGTGAGCTTTTGCTTTTAGCCGGTAAAAGATGTGACTTTTCAGTAAGTGTTTAGAATAAAAAGTTTAATAAGTTAAAATAATTTTTAAATTTTCTAATAAGTAAAAAAAATATTAGAATTAAGTTTATAATGTCTTAATTAAACTCTGGTACAAGTTTTAAAGTCTATTTAGAAATATTTCTTTTAGAAATCACAATTTCTGACTTTGATGAAGCCACAATTTTTAACTTTAATTGAAAATTCTTTTAAAAAATCAAAACACTTTTAAGAGATCATCTAAACACCTTTAAAATTAACTTTTGTACCTAGGAAGTAAAAAAAAACTTTTAAAAAGCTCTCCTAAATAGGCCTAATAACTATTTATAGTATTAACTAACCCAACAAAATTGGGACCAGAAAAGGGCTGTGGCAACTATGCCCTGTAAGAAGGTTACATAACTTGCTGTTTTGGGTGACCTCTTAAAGGATGCCAAGCGTCATCTAACTAAGAACAATACCTACCATATGTATGCCAAAAGAATAATAGTTATAATTGCAGCAACAGTTCTCGTGCTAAAAGCTTTTGCCATTAATAATCACACCCGCACCGAAACACATCATATTTTATGTCCCTGTAAATGGTCTCCCTCCACTTCTTACTGATTATTAGTAGACATATATTTCAGCAAAAAAGAGACCCTTTAACTGTATATATATGTTGAAAAAAAAAAAAAAAAAAAAACTACCTCAAAGCTTCGATTAGGAATATACATTTACACAGGCACAACCACTTGGTTGGAGAAAAGAGTAGAATATGCATGTGTTCTTATGGGTATGTGTTGTTTTTTTTTTTTTCTCTTGTTAATTAATACCCATGTGTCATGTATTTATAGTTTCAAAACCTATTTGTTGAAAACCTAAAGGTTATATGATGTGATGTCGCTAGTGGTTCTATTTATGAATTCTATCCAACCCACCTCCAATCTTTATAGGTTTTTTATGAGAAAGAACTGTAAGTGCAAGTTGTTGAACACACTCAATTGGATGATCCATATCTTCCTACGAAGAGATATCACCTTTACTTCCCTATAAATCTTAAAGCCTCAAATTTTCTCATAACAATCAAAACTTTAGGCCTAAGTAATTTTGCTCATTTGATTTAAAAACTTCAGTTAAAAAATGAATTCATGCGAAAAAATACTATAACAGAAAAAATTTAATTTAAATATTTTTTTAAAAAAATATTGTTATAAAAATTTGAGTTGTAATTCGTACCAACGAAACGAACGAGGCCTAAGTAAACGTGAACACACACACCTGAAGTCTTCATCTTGTGTTATTAGGAATCAAAACTAACATACATGCACATAGCACCTTGACATCTCATGTAAAATTCAATCTAGCTTTTTCTTGTTCCAAAAATTCAAAAGTATAAATATGTGTAATACCCTTTTCAATTCAAGTGACATGGATTGTACTCACTAAGCTATTATTTATCAACGAATAAATGTTTGTCAAAAAAATCTTTTATATGGAATCCTCAAATGCGAAAGTACTTAACATTCAATCATGAACTCCAAAACATTACTGATTACTGACCATATAAAGAAGTAGCTATTTGAAACATATTGCAAATGTCGAATAATCCTATCAATTTTAATCTGCGATTGTGACGAATAAACATAACGTTGTGTTGGTAATGGGTGCTAGGCGACTGAATTGTAAGTTGCAACCGAAAATAACATTCGCTTGTTACCAAAAATATAGCTATGGATAATGTATTTTCTTATAAAATTTAATGTGTTTTGAGATAATGATGGGACAATACATCCCCCTCCATTCCACTATTAGGGGGTGGAGCAATATACTCCAGCCTATTAAAATAAAAGGAAAATTATTTGGTTGGATAAGGAGGGAAAAAAAAAATCAACGGGCATCAGTTAAAATGTTATATTTTTTAAAATATGTTTGTCTTTTTTAATGTCAGATGACTCAGATCTAACCATTGATGGTTTTTTTTCCAATACCTTTACTACATAATTGTCTTAAAATAAAGGCTGTATTTGGAGTTGTTTTTGTTTTTTACGTTTTTTAAGAAAGAAAAAATGAAAATGAAAGAGAAATGATGTTTGATACAATTAAAGACAAAAAACGGAAATAAAAACGATTTTTTAGTTTAGTTCCGTTTTCTCCTCTCTCGAGTATAGAGAGAGACATTAATGAATTTTTTTATACTGAAAATAATATCTTGATAAAACTACCAAATGCATTTTTAATAAGCATTATGATTGTAAGTTGTGATCTTCCAACAAAGATATACAAAACTACAGTGGATGTAGCTCTCATTTTATAGAGTGAACCATTATAAAAACTCCTTGTGTCATTTTTGCCTGTGTATGATTTAGTTAACTTACAAACACACACATGTTCTACAAAACCACATACGTTAAACTATACACTCGTGGCCAGTAATCCGAAGGGAAATCAAGAGGTAATCCGGTCGGTTTTTTGTTGGTGAAATTTCACCGTCAACAGGCGGGGAAACGTTGTCGTCGCCAACAGGATGAGGAGAGTTGTAAAGGAAGCTCAAATCCCACTCAGGACGCTCCTTCTTGATCAGGTCGACAATTTGTTGACCCGCAGATTGAAAATCCCTGGTACGGATGTCAGTGAGCTCCTGAGAAGCCTTGAACTCCTCAATAATCTCGGCGCGCTTGGCGTCGAAAGCAAATGCAGCTTCTGCCTCAGCTTCCTTCTTCCCCTCAGTTTTCCCTTCAACAAAACGCTTCTCCGCTTCCCCAGCTGCTTTAGACAACTTTTTGTCAGACAGGTCCGCTCGCTCTTGAGACTCGCGACCTTGTTTTTCAACTTTTGTAGTTCATCTTCCAGACTCGCCAGCTTGGCCAAGGCCAAGTCCCTCTTCTCAACAACATCATCTAGTTTCTTTTTGGCGTCGGAAACAAGGGACTGAAGCCTGGCCTCCAGTTTGTCCATCTCATTTTTATGCTCCTCGACCTTGACGAGGTCAAGGAGGTTGAGAATGGAAAGAACCAGGCTCTGAAAAGTTGAAGGTCAGAAAAGCAGAAATGCAGAACGACGAGCTAAAAAAAAAAGGGGGAGTCTTACATGGATCTGGAAAGAAATCTGTTTTCGCTGATAGTCGACCAAAGAAGAGTGGGCGGCAGCAACCCAATGTGGCTCAAGGAATGACTCATAAAGAGCCTGAAAGACGAGGGAGAAGCGAGGGGGAAGTTTCAGCATCGCCCCAATCTCGACATCAGATATATCCGAGACTTGGAACTTGGGGTCCATAATTTTAGCCCCTGGAATAAGCACGCGCTCTCTCGGCGCCAGCGGAATGTTGATGTCGGGAATGGGGACCGTCGACGTCCACGTTTCTGTCATCGGCGTTTTTTCCCTGCGACTCTTTTTCCGCACAAGTTCCACCTCCGCCTCCGACCCCGAAGGACCCTTGGTCTTCCTGCTCTTTGGGACGCGGGAAG